TATGGGGGGGGGTGATGGAGGGTGGGGGGGTGTATGGGGACCCCCCCACACTCCCCCATGGTGCAGCAGCAGGTGGGGGTGCTCAGGGTGCCTGGCAGGGTGTAGCTATGGCCAGTGTTGCACGTCAGCGAGAGGTGCATCCTCTGCTGGACAATCTGTATTGCCAGCACTCCCTGCGCTCACCGGGCATGGGAGAGAAGCCCTGCATGCTAGAGCTGGCTGCCTTCCCTGCCCACCAGGGGAAAGTGCCTGGGGCTTTCTTCCCATGTTGCACAGCCCTGGCAGGGAAGGCAGCTGGCTCCAGCGCATGGGACTTCCTTCCCCCATGCCCAGTGAGTGCGAGAGCTGCATATGCACGCGGGGAGCACTCGCTGTAAAAAGTGTGGCAGTGGCCGCAGCTGCACCCTGCCAGGCACCTGTGCTGGGCATGAGTACCGAGCACACCCGCCTGGTGCTGCCACGTACCAGACAGGTTGTTTCTGTACCACTGGTGGTACATGTACCACAGATTGGGAACCACTGCTATAGGGTAAGCAACCTTTACCCACAGAGTCAAGATACAGTCAGCCAGGTTAGAGGAATCAACACTACTCCTAACACCTCCAGAATCAGAAAATACAAAGGTGGCTTAGAGCCAGAACTGAAATCACTGATCTGGGATGGACAGAAATAAAAATGTGTTGGTATTGAGGAAGACTGGGAGAGAGGCAGCATTCAGATTTAATAATCACGATTATAATTGTTATTGCACCAATTTCTTCTTTTCAGAATAGTGGTATATATTTCCACTGATTTTTCAAAATGTGTGCAAGAAAGCTCCATGAGATGAAAGCTCTGCCAGTAACCGTAGCTGTTAACAAAGTAACTTGGATTTTGTATTAGACTAGCAAATTATGTGTTTATCTATTTGGCTGGTACATGTTGCACTAGACTAGTGGTGGCCAGCCTGTGGTACGGGTGCTACAACTAGCATGGGCAGCCACTGTGTTGCATGAGGCAGATTAGAGAGGGAACAGGCAACATAGCAGCAGATACAGCAGGGAGCACTGGGCACGAATCAGAAGGCTGAGCAGCAGATTGCCTAAACAGAGGTTTTCGACCTGTAGTCTGCAGACCGCCGGGGGTCTGCAGATTATGTCTAAGGGGTCCATAATAACTATGATCAATCAACAGTATATGAATACCCACCCTTACAATTCAAAGGTGTCTGTATCTCCATTCAAAATTTCCAAACAGGTCTGCACCTCCATTCAAAATTTTTTAGGGGCCAGCAAATAAGAGACAAAGGTTGAAAACCACTGGCCTAAAGGAAAGGGATCGGAGTGGTACTCAGGAAGGTGCTAGGCTTACTTGTGGCACACTTACCAATAAAGTTGGCCCTTGTTGCATTAGACTGTCACTGTTGTGACTGAGCAGTAAAAGACATGACATCCTGATGGAGTCTATTTTTATGGTAAATTTAAAACAAATACACTTAGAAACAATAATTGTGATTACCTACAATGGCAACCTAGAATGGTAAATAAGGCAACACATTAACAAGCTTCAACCCAATTGTACTAACAAAAATCTGCAGCAGCACACGTGAAAACTAACACACACAAACACCTACCTTTTGTAAGGTCACAGTGTACTGTTCCCATATCAGCTCTTCCATGCCTGAGGCCTGTTGCATGGAAGAAAAAAAAAGAATTAGCCATCTAGCAATGCACAAGTACCCCAAACAAAAAAAAGTCAGAAAGACCATATTCAAAAAACTGTTGAAACAGAAACCTGTATTGTAATTTTTAGTTGAGTCGCTTATGAAACAAATGAATTTTTATTTCAAGTGACAATGGAATTAACAGAAAAAAACAGTAGTTAGTTTGGGAGAAGAAATGTGTATTAGACTTTTGCTGGTTAAATATGTGCATATGTTTATGCACGTGTCAGGGCATGGCGTATGTCTGACCAGCCAATAGAAATGGGATTGGGTATGCCCACCCACACTATAAACTAGCTTTAAATCTGGCTAGTTCTGCTAACACTATGAGTGAAGACAGGGCAGCAAGGCCTTCAACAAGTTCTCTGTAGACCTCAGATACGTACTCTGTGGCAGCTGGCACTGAAGTCCATGTTGCCTCAACTTCCCTGGCATCACCTCTATTTGACAGATAAAAATTAACTTGAGTACGTTTTGTATGTAGCAATCATACTTCCATTTTCCCATGAAGACATCCTCTCTTTGTGCATACACGTGTACTCACAGATGATCTGATAGTTATTGGAAAACCTGTGCTTTCTACAAGTTATCCAAGTTTGATAAAAGGTAAAAACAACACAAATTTAAGCCTCAGGAAGATTTAGACTATGCACACAGCAAAGTTTCCTGAACAACGATGGGAAATTTGACCATTTGGTTCCACATTCTAAAACAGGAGTTCCCAACCTTTTTATGCTAAGGACCAGCAAAACGCAGACAAGAAGTGACCGTGGACCGGCAAGCTGCAGACCAGCAGTGACCAGCATACTGTGGGTCGGCAGTCAACCCCCCGCCTTTTTTTTCCTCAGTATACTTCCAGCCCGCAGTTTGCCGGGGTCCACAGACACTTCCGGTCCACGGCAACCAACCCTTCGTGGCCCAGTACCGGGCCGCTGCCCTGGGGTTGGGAACCCCTGTTCTAAATGCATAAGTACACAAATGACGATGGTCTAAAATTTTTAGCAACAGTATATTTTGGGAAGGAATTCCCACCCTCCTCCCACCCCCAAAGTAAGTGGGGGGGGGGGAAGGGGGGTGGCAGAGAAAGAGCAAAGCAGACAAACGGAATACCACCTCTGGGATGATGTTAGGGCTCTAGTTCAACAGAACTGCCCTGCCAAACTAGTATTGGACTTTTGTCCCTTAAAATATTGACAGGCAGGGGCTCAGACAGCCATATAGTTGGTTCAGATTCCAAAGAAGAGCAAGGGAGAGTGCCGATATTCACCAATAGCATAAGTAAGAGTTCAGAAGAAATTTGGAAGAAAAGCCGAAGTCAACAGCACACTTATGTATTTACCTCTCAAGTGTTTTCCTGAATTTGAACTTCAAGCATGACTAGTATGGACAGTGGTATAACAAGGGTAGGGCAACACTGGGGGCAACTGTACCAGGTACCCAGTTGACAGACCACTGATTACTGAGGTCCAACAAAAACCCGTCTCAAAACCTTGGCCACCTGAATAGTACCATAGTTGGGACTGAGGCTTTCAGAGATGAGATGGTGTGAAGTCTCTTGGATCACTTGCCCTTGGATAACAACTAAAGCTAGTTGCAGTGTGTTTTTCCCTCCCTCCACTCCAAGGAACATTCTAAGTTTTCAATGGAAAAAACAAAACAAAGGATCAAAAACAACCAAAAACATGCAGCCACAACCTGACTACATTTACAACTTCCATTATGTAGGGTCTCTTGCTGACACCCTATGGTGCATCATGGGGATCAGATGGATGTGATGCCTTACAGGATGTATAGTTCTTTGGGAACTGTAACCTATGAAGACTGGGGGCACAAGGCACTAAAACAACAGCATTTCCTAATCCAAACCGCCTGCGTACAAACTCTGTTGCAATTCAGGTTTTTCTTGACTGAAAGAGAATACTTTCCATGGATTTTTAATTTAAAAAAAATAAAATAAAATAGTATTTTATTTATTTAAAGAAAAATTTGGCCTTAAAAAAGGATTAAGTAGAATAGAATAGAAATAGCATTCTAAGTGGTACAGCTAATGGTGTAAAAACGGTCCCGCCATATATTCAATAACTCCTCTATACTCCACCCCCCACCCCTTCAGAAAGCTCAGTAATAGTTCCAATATAGTTTGTTTTCTAATAGCAGAATCCCTCTTTATTAAGCACGCAATTTATGTTATTTTCTTGGATAGTCGAGACAAGAACCCCACAGTCATAAATGAGAGACTCCATGCAAAGGATTCTGGGCAAACCTTGAATGTTGAGATGATGACAGCATTTCAGTGTGGAATCATTGTATAAACAAGTTGAAAATACCTTTTTATGTTATTTAAAGAGTACCCACAATATTGACTGTTCATTTCAGTGAGCATGCAATACAAAAATAAACATCATAAATATTATAATTATGTTGGCATATGCTAATGACTTACAATATGATGCTATTTATAAGGATGTTCTCATTCAAAATAGATTAATTTAAATGTGCAAACAAAAACATTAGAAGCCCAAGAAAACAAGGAAAGCTACAACATGAGGACTGGAAGTGTAGGCATTACTGGCTTGTTTTTAGGTTTGCTTTTTTGTAGGGGAGGGTAGTGAGGCATTTGTAATAAAACCAATATTTAAAATATCCGCCTTCTCATGTGGCCAAGGAAGTCAAAGACAGGTATAACTATAACTGTTTAACATTCATGCCTTAGGTTAACAAAATTAACCTACTTGTTGAAACAAGGTCAGTCCAATCATCTTCTGTGCAATTCAAAGCACTTCATGTCACCAGCTGACTATTTTTACTAGACAATCTTTCAGCTAGCTACTACTTTACTGTTTCTCTCTACCCACTCCAAAACACAGGAAAATCCTATATAGAACCCCCACACCTCATTGATGAGTTGTTCAATTCTACTTTTCTAGAATTTTTTTTTTTTTAAATAAACTATATGAAGCTTGTGGGAAAGGTGACATCAGATCTCATTTCAATTCTAGCAGTTTCCTTTGAAGAGAGCTTTAAAAGTATGAGCAGATGATGTGAAGGAAGAGTAGTTAAAACTCAGATATCTCCCATCTACAAAACCCCCTAAGGCCAACCCTGTACATGGGAGGTGAAGGTCTGAAGGTAGTAAATGTGGTTTTGCCAGCTCATCCAGAAACTCTAGGCTCTTTTGAAATGTCCTCACCTACCCTGGTCCCCTGAAGGCCTGTCAAGTGGCTGCTTTACAGGAATGGTTCCAATCCTAGAAGGCAATTGCCACAGAGCAGGAAATTATGCAAAGCACAGCAAAGGTGGGGAAAGTTTCTGGAGTTGATTTATGGGATTGCAGATTTACAATAGTGGGAGACTTTGTCAGGAGAAGGAGACACAAAGAAAAAGTTTAGGGATCTCAAAAGGAAGAACACAAGTAAAGAAAGGTGGGCCTCATCTACATTGTACTATGTAGGGCACTGACAACCATAGGGGGAAAAAAAACCCAGAAACCCCCCAAACCACCCAACAGTGCTTTAGTGCTTTATGGAAGAGGAATCACACTAGTTTACTCCTGCTCCCCGGCATCTGTATAGCTCGTGCACTTCAACAGCACTTTGGCGCTTTTATCTAATAAAATCCAATCTGATTCAATCAGCTATTAAATAAAAGTGCCAAAAGCCCTGCTGAAATGCGCAAGCTATACAGATGCTGGGTGAGCCTTGTCAAATTGATGCAACTCCTCTTTCGGACATGTACTGTGCTTGGTGCAGGGGCATGCCAAGCTGAAAGTAAAATGCTGTTGGGTTTGTTTGCTTTTTTTTTTTTTTTTTTTGGGGGGGGGGGGGGGGTTGGGGGGAATCCCATATCTGTAAGCAGTCATAAAGAACAAAATGTACCATGCAAAGAACAAACCATTTAAAACTTTATTTTGCTTGAGTATGAATTAGGACAGCCAAGTGTTGGTTGGTTATGGCAAAAAATAGAAGGAAAAAAGGAATCCATTTACTTCCTTTAATAAAGATATCATCAATAATTAAGGCCCTGCAGGAAGTTCTATCAAGGACAGTCTTCTG